ATGAATTTGATCGTGACATTCAATTTCTGCAGGATATCACCTGCCTGAGCTCCCCTTCTCGTCTGGCAGTGGTGCCCTGGGGACTACGCAAAGTTCTCAGGTGGATTAAAAACACCTACGGTGACATTGATATTTACATCACAGCAAATGGAATAGATGACCAGTCCCTAGACAATGATGAACTTCGAAATTATTACTTGGGAAAATACGTACAAGAGGTTTTAAAAGGTGAGTATATGATAAATTGAAGTTCCCCAGAGCCATTTGTGTGGCACAGATCCAGACATCCCTTAAGCAAGCACCTAAGACTTGCTGCAGACAGAGCAAGCAGCTCTGGTTGAGATGTAGAAACTGGCCACTAGCATTCAGCCCTGAGGAGCTCAATTCCACAGTCACAATCAGGGCAGATACAACGCAAAGCAATGGAATCAAGCTCCTTATATGAAATACAGCCACAGCTGTATCCTGTTTAAATTGTGTGAGAATCCATGTGGACTTGCATATAGAGCAGGGTAGTTATTCAGAGGTTAGTAGAAGGTGGTACATGAGACCAATAATTCCCAAGAGATAATTCTAATTTCTACTCTACAAAGAAAGGTGGAAGCCTCCTTAATTGCTTGCTGAACTAGAGTCATTGGACAGGAAAGCACAAACAAGTCCAAAGGGACCTGAAGGGACATACAGAATAAATACAGGAGGTCACCAGATTTTGAAGGAGCTGCTATTGAGGGGGGAGTCAAACTCTCCTGTTCCACTGCTTGCTTTTCCCTAGGCACCTAAGGAAATCTAGTTCTTCACTTTATAGAAAAATTGGTAACAGTTATGGAGATAGAGGACAAACTTTTCAAGGCAGTGATCTTCAGCAATTGCTCATTGTATGAGGAATGCTGCAGGAACCTCACCCCTCTCATCCCACTTCCTCCAGCCAAACATTAAAAGGAAAGCAGTGAGCCACAGGATACAGAAAGGCCTCGGTACCTGAACCACACAGCCAAAATGAGACACACAGTATACCCCTGCACTCAGTATTCCCTATTGGTAAGCACTAGCAACTTCCCTGATTAGGACATGGGGCCTCTAAAAGCTCTTCTGTGGCACCTGTCCCTAGACATACATAGTCTATGTATCCTGATTTCTCCTCTCTAGGAGCTTGCTGTGTAAAAAAATGAGACAGGTCATACTCATAGCTAAGCATGGCTTCAGATTACTTTCCAACACCAAGAAACAGAGCATTTCTTGTTGTTTCTCCAGTGCTTAGCTCTTTCTCAATTAGTGTAGGACTAATGAACATCTGCTGATTTATTTCCCATGCTAATTTCACATTGCAAACTAAAGAACAGTAGGTTATTAGAGGAAGTAAGTTATTACAGGTTGTTTAAAGGGCTCTTCATCATAGTACTCTCATTTAATACTCTTTGACACTTCATCACATAATGATCCCCCAGTTTACAATGTTCTTGCTTAATCTGGGTCACATCCCTGACAGTGCTCTCTGCTTACCCATGAACTGGAGAGATGTTTACTCACCAAGGACTGCTATTTGACATCATTATTTTCACCCAGCACTCAGGTGCAGCAGTCTAACATGCAGTTGTGTACTGAGTTTGGAGCAGGGTGGGAATTTTCAGAAAGCTCCTCTCATGGCACAGATGAGCAGCTCAGCTGCTTCCCTTGAGTCATTGCAGGTTCTGCTGGATTCCATAAACAACAGCATCTGGCTTTCCCCAGGCAAGCAAGCTCCCAGGCTCTTGCCCTGTTCAAATCTGGCTTTCACAGAGTAGGTCCATAAAATTCCCCAAAACAGTGATGCATTGTTTTTACTTAGGACAGCTGGGAATTATTAAAAGCAGTAAGTATTTTTAGATACAATTACACTTTTTTAATTGATAGATTAACAATTTGAAATCTGACCCTACTACCAGAAAGTTTGTAGGTGATACAATGTTTTATTAACATTTGGGTTTGGTTTTTTGTTCCCCTTCTCAGCATACTTCATCGATAAAGTCAAGATTAAAGGCTACTATGCATTTAAGATGACTGAAGAAAAATCTAAACCCAGATTTGGATTCTTCACTTCGGATTCAAAGGGGAAGCCTTCAATAAAATTCTACAATAACCTGATAAGCAACAATGGCTTTCCTGCTGACCTGCGGTTTTCAGCCTGTGACCCTTCCAGACAAGAAAAGCAGTGTAGCTTCTGCTTGTTCATCTCTCAGAAGAAGCCATTAATATTCTTTACCTGCTGCCTTTTCTCTACCCTTATCTTGCTTTTAACCATTATTTTTTTTCACAAAAGAAAAAGAAGAAAACGTTTTAAGGCAAAAACCATCTGGTGAATGTGTTTCATTTTAAAAAGAGGACACAAGCCCCCTGTCAGTGAGATCTGTCACTGTTTGCATTCTACAGAGGACAGTGCAGATCAGACAACTATGGAAAAACACCTCATCAGTCACTCCAGTCATACACACCAAGCATTTTGTTTGAAACCAGAAAGTAACCACGCACACAGGAGGAAGTCCTATGATGACGTTTGTTCCTGGTGAAATTCCCTTTACCCACCTACTCTACACAGAAGATAAATTTTCTGTGTAAAACAAAGGGAAGAGCATTTTATGATTGCCTGTACCTTGGAATAACAAGTCAAACAGTTTGACTTGAGGTTATTAAGCTGTGAGAATTGATACGCACCTTTCTATGAACCTCTGGACTAAAGTGCACTGTGATGTGTATTCGTGTGATAAATGTTGAGCATGAAACTGCAGTTGTTCGGGTTTACAAATAAAAGCATTATTAAAGCCCAGAAATGTTCAGCTAACTGCAGCAGCAAGAGCGAAATATCCTGGGCCAGCTTCTGACAACACCTCTAAAAAAAACAAAATAAGTTAACTCCATTGTCAACCACCATACCTGTATCTCTGACATACTGGGTAAACTAGAGATCAGATACTAACGTTTTAAGCAAATGTAATTGGATCCACAGGGGACAAGTCAAAATAATTCAGTTACTATTTTTCATCTCCAAAATGAGGCAGCCATAAAATTTTTTACTATCAGAGACAATGAAAATAAATAGTAACTATTAATCCACTCATGGGAATGATTAATGTAATTCTAAATTGGGACTTTTTCAGAGAAATAAATGTATATTCTTACCTTAGATCTGGTCAACTGCCACTGCAAGCCATGGGTGGGCTAAAACCATGAGTTTATTGCTATGGCTGCATTAAGCAAAAACTACCAACCTAAGCATAATGTTCTTAAAGGGTAAATGAACCTCTCTCACATAAGACTTTTCAGGGACAAAACCCAGAGGTTTCCCTTGGTCTGGTTTTGGTCATCTCAAAATGAGCCCAACCTATTTTTCCCTGTGAACTGCACCATAATTCAAAGTTCACACTGGCCTTTTCAGAACACTTCCCAGGCAGGTACCACACACCTCTGGAGAGGGGTAGTGAAGCTGCGCCAGAAATTCAAAGAGGCAAGAATTGGTATCAGTTGAACTCCCACTGTCTTCCTCTGTCTCACAACCTTCCTTTCCAGTGGCTAGTACCATTTTCAAGACACAATGCAACCCCCAACCAGCTCCCACTAGAAGCTAGTTACCTCAGTCCTATGGTTCCCAGAACACACACTTCATGCTGTACTCCTGCAACTCTGAAGAGATGAGGCATGTAAACACATTGCCTCTTGCAACTGCATCTGAACATGCAAGACAGCATCAAACACAAGGTAAACGACTGTGTATGATGATAAAGTAAACAATGATGTAAATGACAGTATTACACCCACTTCGTTAACAGGCTACTGGGAAATATGTGGAAGTGTAACTTGGAGGATAGACTGAATTGACTGAACCCCAAACTCCCAATACTTGCCTCAATCTTGAGATTCAGTTCATAAATGTATGAGGTTATTTCTCCACTGTATTTCAGATGCTTGTCAACATCACAGAAGGTTCACTAATTCAAAAGGTAAGTACTAATAGAACGATGAAGCACTCTAGTCCATTTCACACTATAAGATGTTCTACTGGCACAGAACAGCACAGATGTTAGGAGACATCACCCAAAGACACTGACTAGATCAGCCTGAAGCTGGGAATTAAAAGCAGTAAATGTGTACTTTTAGATGCAATTACACTTTTTAAATTGATAATTTGAAATCTGAACCTACTACCAGAAAGTCTGCAGGTGATAGATACAATGTTTTATTAACATTTGGGATTGGTTTTTGTCCCCTTCTCAGCATACTACATTGACAGGAAAACTCCAAGTGTGCTGTGGGAGCCCACAGAATTTTAGAAGACTCCTTTAGCATTTATCAAACTCTGCAGAATCACACAAGTGGGTGCTTCGGGAAATTGTGTGAATTTTAGGCACACCTAGGTGCTTCCTCAATAGTAAGCTTTAGCTACTTGTTACCAAGTAGGTTTCTGCACCATTCCAGCATTTTATGTGAAACTTTTTTTTTCAAAATGGAATTCAACAAGTGACAATGTAGATTCTACTCTAGCACAAAAATCATACAACGCTCCAATTACGTGTTGCTACACAAGATCAGTAACCAAGAAATAAACAGAGCTCTATCCCCAAGATGACCCAGGTGGAGAAACTCAGCACTAACCTCTGCCTGCACTCTGACATCAAGCACTTGGTTTCCTTAGCTGAGCAATATGCTAAGGCATCTTATTTTCATACTACTTCTTGTATTCTGTATTTAGTTTAAATGACCTTATAAACCTTGTTCTACTGATCCCAGTTTTGGTTTTCATCTACTTCAGAGTGTCATCTCAAGTCTGAATTCCCCTCCAGAAATTGTACAGGGAAATCATTTTTGCAGGCTGAGGTTCTGAAATGACATGAAAGAATTGTAGTTCCCTTCTGTGAGAACAAAGCTTTTGTTATTTTTTAAAGCTATGATTTAAAACTACCACTTCGCGATTCTACACTGTGGGTCCACACCTGTAGTTCTTGGCAGAAGAAAAACGAGAGGCCAGGATATGGAATAGATTATATTTTATTAAACCTCTCATGGTGCTTGAGTTTTGGATCAGATTCTTCAAGCTGGCACTTCCTGATACAACGTCGCATGGTGGTTTGTTTCAGGATCCAGGTAACTGCAAACAAAAAAGTTCAGAGATTTTAGCTTAAGGTTTTAGCACTGCAAATGTGAAATTGAAAGTTTATAGATATGACAATTTATCTGATAGGTTTTAATGCGAGACAGACACTAATAGCTCAAAGCATTTGTTGTAGTTCATTCAGAGATTACTTAGAGATGCCTTCAAACACAACAGCTCCCAACTGTTTAGCAAGCAGGTAACAAGCTGTTCTATCACTTGAGAAACTCAGAACAGCACTAAAAATAAATCTTTTTAGTAGCCTGCAAGTGTTAAAAAAGTTTATGCAACACCTTTCCTCTGCATCCTCTGTCACAAGCTCAGATTCAGAAGGCACACAGTGATTTGAAAGTCAGCCTGTCTCATCCTACGCAAGTGTTCTGCACCATGTATGAAACCACAGGTAGCTGAAATGTATCAAACTCCTTTAGCAGTTGAAATTCTTAAATTATCCCTAACCCCTTGTACTCATCTTCAGTAACAAAGTGTAAATAATCTTTTCTGAACTGACCTTTGTTTACAAGGATTTATACACAAACTACACAGAAGACCTTTACACATAAATTACTCGCTGAACACTGTTTTTAGTGAAGGCAGTATCCAACCAGGAGGAACACGAGCCTAAGAAAAGTCTTCTCTGTAAACAGCTGTAAACCCATTTGTCATGCTGAGTTTAAATTCTCAGGCCCCATTGTAACGAGCATTTACAGCACAGAATACAGCTGTCTGGAGTCAGGTATTTCTCCATCCAGTAGCATAATGCCAAGTTGATCATAGAATCAGATCACCAAATGGTTTGAGTTGGAAGGGACCTTAAAGATCACCAAGTTCCACCGCACTCCCTGCCACAGGGACACCTTCCACTAGACCACGTTGCTCAAAGCCCCATCCAGCCTGGCCATGAACACTGTCAGGCACAGGGCAGCCACAGCTTCTCCGGGCAGCCTGTGCCACTGCCTCACCAACCTCACAGTAAGAGCACCCCATGATGAGAGATGGAAAGTAGCCAACAGAAGACCTAGCAAAATTTACGTTGATAAAACTGCCTATGACGCCCTTTATAAGCACAATAGCACCCCTCTTGGGAACCCACTTAACACAGCTTTGTGAAGCAGATAAACCTTGTCAAGTCCCCAAGTCAAGTAACTATTTCTACAAAGATGTACAAACTGTGTCAAAATGATACAAACCTTTTAAGAGTTTTACTCATCTGCCTGCTGTACTGTTCCTTTCTCGGAGACATAGATACCATCCAAGAATTTCCTGATATCCTTGTTCTTGACTGTAGTGGCTTGCTGGATCAGGGCAGCTGCAGACAAAGCAAGAGCATGTGCACAAAGCAAGAGGTCAACACCAACTCATAGCCTTTGTCTGCTCTCCAGTATTTCAACTAATGTATGAAAGGGTCATCTGGAGAAAGGAATTACCAACCTGAAATCCTGTCAAGTCTAATGACAACAGGACACATTTCACTCCGTCTCAGCTGTAACTGAGGGCAGTGACAGTTTACTACTGCACACCTGTACAACCTGAAGAGTTTGGTGCCAAAAAGGCCATCAAGATTGACTCAAAAAATCCCAAAAGTTTCTGTGGACTTGGAGAAATTACAAAGAATAAAATTCTGAGCTACCATTTACCTCAAGGTTTAAGAAAGACATTTTGCTAAGCTGACATCTTCAGATAAAAGCAGCCACATCACTGTACCTTCCCATCCCATCTACTTTCACAAACCTGAATTGGAGACCAATTCAATGTCATTCCCTTCAAGGATCAGCTCATCTTTCTGGGCTTGAGACACTGCACAGGAAACACCTAGAGAAACGAAAATGCACAATCCATATTATTGGTAAGGGCATTAGTGCACTAAAGGAACAATATTCCTGTCCTGTCCCAGCTTAGAGCTCTAGAGAGCAGTATGCTAGGCAATAATTAGCTTCTGTGATTTTGTTAAGAGTCCCCCAAATCCCTTCCAGGGTTGCCCTCCCTCACAGAGTTTCAGAACTCAAAAGATCAGTGCAATACATGCTCTGGATTGAAATCAATTACTTGATATCTCTACTTAAATGTTACCACAACCCAGCATTAATCACCAGCACTGTATACAAGCCAGAGATCCTGCCAGCACGGCCTCACCAGCTAGGTGGTGCCATCTGCCACATGCTCATGGTCAGGAAGACAGAAGTGGAGCAACCCTATCAAAAGTCATTTAAAGAACCCCCGCCTCTGACATGCCAAGCACCACGTTTATACCAGCAACACTGCAAATACAAGAAGTAAACACTGGGACATTCAAGCATCTAACAGGAAGCTTTCATTTGTGAGGAAAATAGTACAAGTTTTTATAGTTTAAACTATTTGGTCAATAGATGTCAGCTTTTACGCCAGGATTTGCTAGCATTTTACTGCCTTTGAAGTAAAAGCTGACTTAAAAAGGATCAACTACAATAGCCAAACCCACCTCAATACCCTGCAGTAAATCAAGGCCACTGTAACTCCACACTGTATCTACCAATGTTTCTGGACAAGTCTGATGCTTTCACCTAAAACCACCCCAAAACACCATTGGTCACATTAAATATCCTTACCCATGCCTTCACCAGAAGTGGAAGTACCAAAAAAAAATAAAATGGTTATGGGAAGTCTTCCCTACAGCCTTAAGGTAACCATGTTTGTGACATGTTTTGTCTCCTCCTTTCAGAAGTTTAACAAGCTCCATCACACACCTACTCTGTCAGACATTTTGCTAGAACTGCTAGCACCAACAGGTGAGATAACAGTTTTGCACACACGCTCCCAGGCAATCAGGAAATTCAAAATACATCATCACTTGAAAGACCAAAAATACAATGTGGTGTGAAACTAATTCGTGTGCAATGCTTAAAACAGAAACACATCTAAAATTAAGCACCAACTATAAACGCTGAAGAGATCTCACAAAGATGAAAGTAAACACGGTGCTCCCTGCAACTTCTATGAGAGTAACTAGCCCTGAATTAGTTATTAGCTACTAAGTAACTGTCATTACTAAAAAGAAATTACTAAAGCATTAATAATAAATCTGAACAGTGGTAAAGGTATCATCACAAGATTACATAAATTCAGACAGGCAAGCACTGTTTCAATAGTCAATCACATCACCTGTTACCAGAAGCAGTACCCAAAGAACACAGCTGAGAAACCCCAGTTATAAACAAGAATGTGCATCTCCAGCTCTGCTCACCTGGCCTCATGCGCACTCTGCGGATGTACTTCTCTCCCAGGAAGTTCCGGATTTCCACAAGGGAGCCGTTATCCTGTATAACCACGTTGATGGGAAAGTGAGCATACACCGACCTCATCTTGTAACGAAAGCCCTGCAGTAAGAGACGTTAACAGATATTGAAACAGTACATGACCGAAAGATGACGCAGATGCATCAAGGTTACTGGAGAAATCCAACCCCAAGGTATAAGGAAAATAGTTTCCTAACAAGGGCAATACATGAAGCCCAAGAGACATTCCTGCCTTCTTCCACCCACAGAACTTGTCTGACAGCAAGTGCAAGACAACAGAAGTAAAATTAGAGAAAGCTCCATCCGGGATGCTTGGAAAAGCTCTCACTAAAGTGAGAAGCTGTTTATTGTTGTAACAAAAGTGACAGGAGTTACTCTGTTTCAAAAGAAAACCTACCAGTGTGACACCCTTTATCATGTTCTGTACATGACTGCAAATTGTGCGAACTGTTGCCAGCTCCTTTCTGTTACCCCACCACTTGTCCACACGTAGCTGGGTTAAAAAAAAAAAAAAAGCATTAACAAAGCTTTCAGCTGCACTTCAAAACTAAACCCAAAACGTTTATGTGACAAACCAGAAGTGAAAAGTTCAAATAAACTACTTAGAAAACCCCCTAACAAAGGCACAGAAGGTGTTTTTTTGACAAATCACTGAAGGCTCACCTAGCTCAGGTCTTCTAAATTCTAACCCCCAGATGCAAGAGAAACATTCCTTATTAATGGAACACGAGGAAAAAAAATCTTCAGAGCAGCTGAGACAATCTGATATCTTCAACTGAGGGATGTATTAATGAATGCTAAATTCCAAAAAATCAGTCTCCTATGTCTATCAACATTTAAACGAAACACTGTGTGTGGGCTCAGTGTTTTAATGACATACTAGATGCTTGTGAAAAAGTAGCTGAAATCAGCCACTCCTCCTCTTTTTGTGTAGTTTTTTTAAGACCACACAAAAATATCATGCAGTTATTCAGAAAACACCCTGATGAGACCTGACAATTCTGGAAGTTAAACGTGCACGTTTAGTTTTATCGAGCTAAAACTAACCCATTTATAAAACAATACATATAATGATCAACACTTTTCCAAACAACTGTCTGCAACTATGAAGAAAATCAAACAATAAATTGACTCCAACATCACAGAATTGCAAGACTCCCATGGCGCCCAAGGGGGTCCCATGAGATGAGCCTCTTTCAGAAAACAATGAAATAAGGGAAAAATTACAAGCCATACTTTGTAACTAAACATTTCAGTTTAACCTCCTACATGACCGAGGAATTAAGGAAGTGTAAAACTCTCCCTCTCTGAGCAGCAAAACGACCTATGCAGCACTCACCTTCTTGTGCTTCTTTCCCAGGAGAGACAGCTCCACATTGATGTGGTTAAAATCCCTCTTCAGGGTTCCTCTGGGGCCCTTGACGATGACTGTCCGGCCCTTCAGTGACACACTGACTGGAAAGCACAGGCAGACACGCGTTATCCGGCTGCGGAGCCAACAGCACAACACGCCTTTCGACCGCACACGCAGACGTACCTTGCTCGGGGATGTCAACTGTCTGGTTGCTGAGAATGGTCTTCATTCTGCAAAGGACAACCGCAAGATGCTGCACACCCTCAAGACAAGGCCCTTTCTCCACGTCCTTCCCGCTTCTAAGCCGCACGTACCCCGGAACGCTCAACTACTAAGAGCCCAGCCCAGGCCCCCACCCGCTGAGCCGTCACGATGCCGAGATCCGCTCCCAACACCGGCACATCCCGCCCAGGCCCCAGAGGATCGGCGGCCTCAGCGCTCAGCTATACGGCGGGGCCCAGCCCAGGTCCGGTAAAGCCGGTGGAGGACAACAGGGGAAGGCGCATCCCGGGGGCCTCCCTCCCGCAGGGCTGGGGACAGGGCGGGGCGGCTCGGCCCGGCACGGCCCCGGGAAGCTGCCTCTGCTTGGGTGGTGCGCCCGGGGGCTGCCTGCGGCCGATGGCCCCGGATGGTGTCGGATGATGCCGCCAGTCTCCCCCTTACCTCGCAGCTGGCAGCGCGGAAAGAGGCAGCGTCTGACGTCATCACGTTCTTGTAGGCGCCCCGGCCTCCTGACGCCATCACGTTAAGGTAGTCGTCCAAGAGGCAAGAGTAGCCGAAGCCCGATGAGCCGACTGAGGCTGGCAGGCGGCGTGGCGGAGCGCCGAGAGGATCGATCGGACTGGTATCTGCGGACCTCGCCATGTCGCTGCTGCCGCGGGGCCGCCGCTGCGAGGCTGCCGCCACGGTCGCCCGGCGGCTGCTGGTGGGGACCCGGGCACGGGTGAGTCAGCGGCGCGCCAGGGCTGTGTGCTCCGGGGGGACTGCTGCACGGCGGGACGACGAGCTAGCCTCCGGAGGGGGGAGAGCAGCACCCAGGACGGCGCCCCGGTGGCAAAGCGTGATGCTAATACCTTAGCTCGTCTCTTGATGCGTGCGGGCTGCCCGGCTGGGCCGTGGCAGCGGAGCTTCACCGCGGGCAGAGCCGCAAGCAGCGCTGTCACCACACCGCTGCAGGGACGTGAGGCGGCCAGAGAGCGGTTGGGCCCGGGCATACACCAAGACACTCAGCACACAGAGAGGCACTCGGAAAACTGAGCCATGATCCCGACTGCTTCTAATCCAGCTTCTGAGAACTGATTTGTGCTATGGTTCCATCAAAATCAGTTACTGACTGGGCAGTGCACAGATAATCGTCTCGACGTCTTGTTTTTGAGCTCTGAAATCTCAGATTAGTCCAAACGGTGTTATATCCAAAACCTATATAACTTAGTTTGATGTTGACAGGATGAGGGGTGATGGTTTTAAACTGAAAGAGGGGAGAGAGGCTGCATGTGCGGAAAAAGATCTTTACAATGAGGGTGGTGAGACACTGTCACAGGTTGCCCAAAGAAGTGATGGATGCACCATCCCTGGAGACATACAAGGCCAGGCTGGACAACCTGATCTAGTTGAAGATGACCCTGTTCATTGCAGGGGGGGTGGACTACATGAGCTTTGAGGGTCCCTTCCAACCCAAACTGTCCTATGATTCTCTATTTTGGAAGAGATCATGCTCAGCGTATGTTTCACATGACTTAAAAAGAGAATTATATGTTTAACTTAAAGTCAGTTGGGAAAATGCTGTGTACATTACCACCAGAAGCACAAGTGGTTACTTAGAATGTATTTCCAGTATATTTGTAATTTAATAAATCACAGTGTTGCTTCTTTCAGGTGTCTGGGAGCCATGTGTGTAACCAGTACACAACATCAGGTTCTTTGACAGAGGAAAAAAGAGAGTTTCTGCAAAGAGGACCAGACTTGCAAGACTTTGTATCTGGAGATCTGTCAGACAAGAGTGCATGGGCTGAGTATAAGGGCAACTTAAAGCGTCAGAAAGGAGAAAGGTAACTGTGATTTTAAACAAGTGTAGTTGCTTCCATGCATTGTCTTGCATGTTTACTATTTGCTGCAAAATGTGTGTTACTGCATATTGTCACAGTGGCTTGCAAATGTCATGATTTTTCAAGAAAGAACAAACATGTTATTAACTTCAAATGCATAACAAAACATGGTATTTTCTCACTTGAGTGCCTGTGCTGTGGCCTATATTAAATTACAAATATACATCAGTAGGTATGTGTACCCTACTTGGTGCTGAAAAAATATTATTGATGCAGTAAAACAAAAAATGAAGACTAAATTGAAAAATCATAGAATCACAGAATGGTTTGTGTTGAAAGGAACCTTAATCACCTAGTTCCAGCCCCCTTGCCATGGGCACGGACACCTTCCACTAGACCAGGTAGACTTTGATGGCTGCATTAATTCTTGCAGTCTCCAGTGTGGCACTGTTAAATCCCACCAGTACAGGTGACAGTTTTAAACCTTCCGATGACAACAAACTCTTACTCTTGAATGTTGGGAAGATGATCGATATGGAAGAGAGAAAGCTGTTACGACCATGCATGATGTTAATATTGGGGTTTGAGGTGCGTCAGTGTTTAAGGAACCTTTCCTAGTTGGGATCTGTAACAAATGAAAGTGGATCTATGAAATTAAAGGAAGCTTACCATGTAAATACTTTATTAATCTGTATGTTTCCATGATGTTATTCAGGCTGCGACTCCCTCCATGGCTGAAAACAGAGATTCCCATGGGAAAGAACTACAATAAACTAAAGAATACCTTGAGAAGTTTAAATCTCCATACGGTAAATTTAGTGCCAACCAAGTTTTCATGCAGAAATAAGGAATTCTTTAGAGATACAAAATTATTTCCATGTGGAGGACAGGTAGAAATGATGTTTTGCATGATCTTCAAGACTGAAACCAAGCCCAGTGCTGATCCTTTTTTCTGGCTGTGAATTTTACCCATAAAGGATGAAGACAGATCTGTAGAGTATTTAGTGGTTTTCCTCCTATGGTTTAAATACTATTGTTTACTATTTGCATCACCAGAGGAATCACATGATTCTATGTGTGACTGGTTTTAGTAGAAACACGTGCAATTTCAGAGTTACAGACATACTTTGTATAAAAAGAAATTCTGGAAATTTATTTCATTCAATATACCTTATAGATGCTAAAAAATGGTGGGTATAAAATGTATAGAGAGCTTTTTTCCTTTTTTTTCAGAGTAAGATCAATGTTAATGACAATCTGTGATAATTAATAAGGCAGTGATGTGGTGGAGGAGTTTTCGGGGTTGTGAAGTAGAGGAAAAGAATGATAATGGATGTCGTGAAACTCTTCCTGTCTCTTTTACTGACTTTTTAAAGAACAACATGTAACTCTGTTAATCTCCACATTTATCACAGAAGGAATTATGTTTTCTTTGTAAGCTACTATTGAAATTGGTTGATAACATAATAATAATTTTCAATAATAATACAGAAAAAAGACAGGTGCTTTACTGTCTTTTACCTTTAGGTATGTGAAGAAGCACGTTGTCCCAACATTGGTGAATGCTGGGGAGGTGGAGAATACGCTACAGCTACAGCTACTATTATGGTAAGTCATTAACCATTTCTTAAGTATTCTATTAATGTTTGGGCTGTTGTAGCATATTGTTGGATCTCTACTGTAGTGGAGCAGCGTTATAACAAGAAATTTAGAGTAAAGCACTGACCTAGTTGTTTTGCTTAGTACTGGTTTCTGTTCCTCATCTGAACAGCAGTGATGTGTACAGTATAAAGGTAGGAACGTCTTTCCCATTTCAGCTGATGGGTGACACATGCACTAGAGGTTGCAGATTTTGTTCAGTGAAGACAGCAAAAAATCCACCTCCCCTGGATCCGGAGGAGCCTTACAACACAGCAAAGGCCATAGCTGAGTGGGGCTTGGACTATGTTGTCTTGACGTCTGTGGACAGGGACGGTTAGTATCTTGTCTCTCATCTCTTCAGTCTAAGCTCACATATGCGTTACATGGGGTAAACACAGACCTCACTAAACATCATTCAGCACTATTTTTAAGGATTGCTGTTGTAAAGGAGTCAACAGTGCTGAAACTTTGGAAAGTTTCTACATATTCTTATCATTTCTTTATGTCTGGAAAAATATAACAGAAGTTATATTGTTATTAAACATCAAGAATATTTAGAATATACTAATTTTTTTTTTCAAAATACATACCTATACACTGTGTTCTGTTACTTGATTAGCAAAAAACACACGACCCACATTCATATACAATACCATTCCAGAACTTCCTTCCAAAAACTAAACCCGGAATACATTACACAAAACAAATCTGACAGCTGTCTTTTTCTAACATTGTAGTAGCCATATAAGAATGCAAAACCATTATAAAGGCTGTTCAGGGTGGTGGTATGTCTAACAGTTTCTTAGTGGCTTATGACAGAAGAACAATAGTATATATATATATATATATATATATATATATATTTAATTTTTTGTAGAACTGTTTATCAGACCAAAACCATAAATAGATAAAGCCATTCTGTGCTCAGTGAAACCTAAAGACAGGTTCATTGGGAGTAAACATTTAATGGCTGCCCTAGACGACCACAGTTTGACTTTGTGCAGAGCAAGGCTTCGTAGAATATCCATTGTAAGCCTTTGGCAAAAGAGGTGAGAGAAGACTGGGGTTTGAATTCTTCATTATTCTGCATTTAAATGTGAATCTGTAGTTTTGGTGGGTTTGCTAATAAGTGAATACATTTCGTGAACAGAAAGGTTAACTGAATAATTGAAATGCTTCTAGATATGCCTGACGGTGGAGCAGAACACTTTGCAAAGACTGTCTCTCATCTGAAAGAAAGGTATATCATTAATCTCTTACTGTCATTGTTAAACATTAGAATGTGGTACTGCATATAGGCCAGAACTGCCTTTAGCTGGATTATTCCAGGGGCCATGCAAATACAGAAGTCTGCCTTTAGTCTGTCTGTGACCCCTTTTTTTGTTTGGTGGTTGGGGTTTTTTTGGTTTTGGTTTGGTTTGGGTTTGGTTTGTTTTTTTTTCCTGTTTTTCATCTTTCTTATATAATGCCCACAGAGTATTTTGAATTTAGATACAATTCCAATTTAGCCCAGGCTTCTTTAAAGCTAAGCACTGGATTATTTGTCTGAAGAGGCAGCTGGTTTACCAGGAAATGAGCACATACTTTTGGGGTGTGTTCACTCTTGAAGCTTGGGGCTCAGAGTGGATTTAGGTAACAGTGACACACATGACAGAA